AAAGCCCCACTCCAGAATACCCCATAGTCTGGCAGTTAGTGCACACTTCTCAGTTGTGGGAGCTCCAAGTTCAAGTATCTTGTGGCAAAGGGGGGAATTGAAACTCTTATGTCAGTATAAAGGAAGTAGCATCAGCATTGGTTTGTGAGGATGGGTTAGTTTATGTGCTGAAGAATGTGCTGCTACTCACCAGTGAAGGGTTTCATAGTGCTTAGGGTCGGAAGGGACCTAAACAGATCATCAGGTCCAACCCCCTGCCCTGGGCAGGAATGGTACCGGGGTCATATCGCCCCAGCCAAATCTCTGTCCAGCCTCCTCTTGAAGACCCCCAAGGTAGGAGAGAGCACCACCTCCCTTGGGAGTCCATTCCAGAGCCTGGCAGCCCTAACCATGAAGTAATATCTCCTGATGTCCAGCCTGAGCCTTCTCTCTAACAACATGTGGCCATTATTCCTAGTAACCCCCAGTGGTGCCCGGGGGAACAGAGCCTCACCCAATTCCCGCTGGTTCCCCCTGGTGAGTTTGTACTTCAGCATTTTCTACTGGCTCAGGTGATTTCCTGCCAAGTCTGCTGGGTCTTTTGAACCCCATCTCTCCCCACATATTATGGACAGCACTAATTTGGGACTGTGGATTTTGGTTGGCAGGAGAGTGCCTGGCTCCTGTGGACAGAGGCAGGCAAAATATGGCCCGTGGGCTGAATCCAACCCACCCCTTGACTTCATCCAGTCTGCAGGTGCCTGTCAATTAATTGTACCTTGGCCAGCCCATTCACTTCATTCCCACCCTCATGCGCGAGAGGGCCCTGGCCAGCATGCACAGCTTCCAAACAGGGCTGCTGGTTCCGATGCTGCCACTGTCAGGGGACCTGCCCATCTTCCCCAGCCTCCAGTGGCTCCTCAGTGCTCGCTCCAGGCAGCAGGTAGGGAAGCTTCAGGTGGGCGGGAGCATGGGGCTGGGGCAGGCAGGAGCACGAAGCCTGAGTGGGCAGGGTGTGGGAACCCCCTCCTCATAGCTCCCCCATCGCGCAAAGCCCCTGGCACCAGCAGCAAGCCCTCGGGGTGCTCACGGCCCACGTAGGGAGAGACACCTGGTGGCAAGTGGCTTCAGCCAGTTTCGGGAGCTGCACGTGGCAGCAAGGAGTGGAGCCAGGCTGGCTCGTCTCTTTTGCACGGGGCTCACGTGCAGCTCCTGAGACTCGTGCACCACTAGGAGGAAGCCCCACCCCCTGCTGCCACATGCAGCTCTGGGACTCCCACAGAAAAGGTGGGGAGCCCTGCTCCCTGCTTCCCAGTGGAGTCCCATGAGCTGCATGTGGTGGCAGGGAGTGGAGGCAGGCCACTGGCTCTGTTGTGTGGGGCTTTCCCCCAGTAGCACTCTCTTCTCCACTGCACCACACATCCCAGTGCCCCCTTACTGCACTGTGCACCTGGACATACCTGCTGCTGCCCCAGTACACTGTAAGCCCAGGTGCCCCTGCCTGCTGCACCATGTCTCCAGGCTTCCGCCTCAGCTAAGCTCCCCCACTACAGGGAAGGGGAAGACGGAAGGAGAGGGAGACTCTGGCTGCAGCTGGAGCAATACCGGGAGTAGCGGCTGGGTGGGAATTCTGGAGGTTGCAGTTTAACCCCTCAGCCTGCGGGCTGCCAGTTGGACAGCCGTGCCTTAGTATAGGAGATCTGAGTTTGCTCTTTCTGCAGCTCTGTAGCCAGTCAAAGTAGCATTTGCACTAAGAAAAATGATGGAAGTTTAAACAAAAATAGCCACCTAGAGTTTCTTGTCTAGATCAGTGTTTCTCAACCTTTTAAGACTCAAGGCACCCCTTGATAGTCTCAAAACACCCCTTGGAAAATGCCAGCTCTGAGTTTTTACTCATTTTTCAACTACAGACAAATAGAGCAATTCTTCTGCTGCAGAAAGCTCAAGAAAGACCACAGCAGGTCAGAATGTTATCAGTGCATTGGATTCCTATTTGAAATCTCTGGGTTTATCTTGTGAATCATGTTTGTATACTAAAGAGTGCTAACATTACATGGCACCCCATGGCACCCTTGAGAGGATCTTGAGGCACATGAGTGTGCCATGACACCCTGGTTGAGAACCACTGGTCTAAAGTATCACCTAAAGTAGGTATAGAAACTATTTCTGATTTCACACCATTGTGAATTGGGAATTTCTGCAGAGCTACATTAGTGAAGGAGTAATGTGACATCAGACTGGTAATTAAAATGAGTTAATGTTGATAATAGATTTGTTGATAATGTTGATAATAGATTTGTATTGGCTCTTGAGTCATGCAGCTACCAAGAAAATTGCAATTTGAGGTTGATTTTGAATGACTGTGGACTGTGAAGCATTAAAGGAATAGCGATTGTGTCATTAATAAGCAATGGACATACTAAGTTTTGCTTAGTTTTTTTCTCTTGATATCTAAAATTATTAGACATTTACTAGCTATTTTGGCAGGACTATGTCATCTGAAAAAGGTAACAGAAATATGTGAAAAGCAAGTACTTCATACATGCATTAGTAACTCATCTAATGTTTTTCAGCCAAATGTAAATTGTTCTATCACACAGAAATGTCAACCATAACAGTTATGACTCATTCCTACGTGGAATCATTATTATTATTTAAAATAACGTTTTTTCTCACTATGAGTTGAGAATAATTTTATTGAAAATGGATTAAATATAATTAATAATCTAATTAATTAAATGTAAGGTTTTAACATCATTGCTAAAATAATCTCACACCTAACATTAACATAACTGTTCCTACTGCTATAGAATTGTATTGTCATTAGCTTCTACTATAACACCAAGCTAATTCTTGCGCAGCTTTGGCCTTTTATGCCACATTTAAGGTACGAGTGAATTTTCATTGTGGTGTTGAAAACAATTTGGGAGGAGGGTTTTAGGAAAGGCTTTTCTATTCCTGTTTCACTCTTTTGTTTTACATGCAGAAGTGGTAAATCATTGGGGTATGGGGCTGCTGGAGATCCAGTATATCAGGTCTTCTGCAGCAGATACAGCTGGAGAGGAACTTAAAGTCCCCATAGTGTCTCATTTTTAGGTTCTGCAGCTAGAGCAGTTTTGCCCCAATCCTGCCTCCAGGCAGATCAAAGCAGTGAATTATTCCCAAAAGAACCTTGTCTGACAACCACTGATATATGATGAGTTTCAGCTCTTGAGGGGCAGACTTTTAAAAGGGTGGCTTTCCTACATAATTCCTTCCTGCAGTTGAGTGACAGGCACAAATCTTCATACTTAATGATAAATAGTGAATTGAGCAATGGAAGGTATGGAAGATGCAGGTAGTCTGACCTACACCTGTACAGTGCTTACCCTTGTATCATTTCTCTTTAGTCTCTTCTGCTTTTTTATGGGATACCAAAACTTCTCTACTTTCTTCTCCCTTCATCCTTTCTCGCTCCTATCTTACCATCTCCAGTAATGCTGCCCTTGGCCTGCAAAACAATCTCCCAGCTACTGTGGCATTGGCTCAAACGTTTAGTCTGCTATGGAGAAGGATTACGGCCAATAAAAGAAATCTTTTCCTAACAGCTGTGGATGATCCATCCCCCAAAAGATGCCAGCGGTTGCTGGCCCCAAGTCAAACACCTGTCTGTACTATGTGCACAGCTGTATGGTAGAAATGTTTAGAAAGGCACAAGCAGGTAACAGATTTTTAAGTTCTGACACTTCTCATCTCATCCACAGATTGGCATCTCCTGATAGCAAAACTCACACTCACCTTGTTCTTGCCCTTACAGGCATACCAATCCTTTTTCTTCCCACTTAGTTATACATGCATATATACAATATTTTAGCCCTCATCTCTATCTCAAATTGCAGGTAGTGATTAATTATTCAATTGTGAAAGGATTGAAGTACAATCAAGCAACACCCACCTTTCACCAATGGCGTGATGCACGGCAAGTATACGGCTTGAACTTCGCAAGCAAAGAAGAGGCTACCACATTCTCCAACGCAATGCTGTTTGCTCTCAATATCATGAACTCCCAGGATGGAGGTAAACAACTTTGCTTCCTTCTGTTAATTCTGTGATTCTCTTCTATGATGCCTGCTGACAGGATTTATTTACCTCTGTCACATGATATAGGTACAAGAACTGTCTGTTGTTTCGGAACACAGAAAGGTGTAATTGGTTTTCTTGCAGACAGCCTTTAAATAAAACAACGGTTGCTGTGATGGGCACTGTGTGTATTTGTATGCTTTTCCTCCCTTCCTTCTGTTTTGTTCAGTGTATCTAGCCCATTCAGGAAAATTCTGCCTTCCTTCCTGTGGATTCAATTTACAGTGTGGGCAGCCCCACTGATTTATATGAACTACTCATAGAGTACGGTTCTACCCGTGTGAGTAACAGTAAAATAACAGTATCTGATCCTAAACAAACGAAAGCTGAAGCAAAGCTGCAACATCAACTTGCATGTAAAACTGAGAGCTCAGGTATCAAGCATCTCATCTCTCGGGTCCAGCCATTAACCACACTGCCCTGGCTCCCTAGGTCAGACAAAAAGAGTACGTACAGCGTGGGGATCGTGGTTATGTGATACAGTAAGATGCAAAGGCTTACATTCTGGACCTTGGCATATGCCATTATAAATATTATATTAACTGCAGTTCAGGTTTCATAATGGAAAATTATTGCTTCATGAATTGAAAAGGTGACTGGGGGTGTGACTGCTTGCCATAGGGGCTTTGCTCTGCTAAGGAGGCCATTTTTCTAAATTTCTGCAAACTCTGTCCTACTGTATATGGACAAATTACCACTTAACCTCAGTTGTAGGGCTGCTACCTTGTTGAAACTCAAGGGGTGACTTGAGAGTAGAATGCAGTTCAGGATGTTTTCAGTCCACACATCTTTCTCTCCAAAAGATGGTGCAAGCCTCCATTTTCTTTAAGTGTTGCAGTTCCAGCTTTACATCTGGTGTGTATTACAGGATCATGTTACCATCCCATCCAAGTGCAGCGTTCCAGTGGTAATAATGGCAGCCATCTTGAATAAATGTAGCCATAACTTTCACAAATTGTAATAGTTTCTGATTCACACACAAATGCATTTCTGCTCAGATCAATATCATTCTCGCCCCCTGCCCTAGCACCTGATTTAAAAAAATCAGGAGAGAACAAGCAGATTCACCTCAAATTCTGTATTATGTCCAGAAATATCAGGGCCTAAATTGAATCCTTTTCAGAATAGAAGACTTCTAGGCTAAGTACAGACAGTCAAAAAGCCTGAAGCTGAATCGATTTCATTCTTGCCTGTGGCAGGGGGTCAGGCTAGATGATCTGTTCAGGTCCCTCCTGACCCTAGCTACTATGAAACTATGATTCAGTCCTCACCGATTACTCTAAACTGTGTAGATTGAACCAATTAGCAAGTGAGCAGACATTCACTTTTGATTCTGGAAATGCAGCCAAATGCCTGCAGTGGCCCAGGCCAGAAGCCAGGGGAAAATAGAGCATGTCTCCCTGCTTGGCTGGAGCAGACAGGTTAGGCCAAGGCTAGCTTGCCCACCCTGCAAGGGAGTAGGGATTACGGGGCAGCTGCAAAGCGTCCTGGGATTCTGGGGGACTGTGAGTTAACTCGAAGGCAGGGGATCTGGGACAAAAGTTAAACTGATTTAACCAAAATCAGTTAAATCTGATACTACATCCATCCAGGTTTATCTTAAACCAGTTTCAGCCATTTTGAAAGAAGTTATGTGCACTGAACTTCTGTTGTGTTACAGGTTTGAGCCAGTTTCCAATCACTTAAAGCGGTTTATGCCTAATTTCTGTCCTCAGAGAAATTCTGTATGACTCTGCCCACCTCTCCGATCTGGTCTATTTCTAAGACACAGTTTGACTGTAGACGTCCCTATTACAAATTTGGTTTCTTGTCTACATACTGAGCTCTTCAGTTAAAAAGCAGAATATCGGATATCAGTGTTACAACAGCTGAAGAGTTTCATTATGGAACAGTTATAGTGATTTGATTTTAACAGACTTTCTGTGATGAGCATTATTTCCCTCCACAACTAAAATGTTTTATGTTTGTTAGGCTACCTCCACATTTACAGGTATTGCACAACTAACTGGCTAACTGTACAATTACCTTCAAACCAGCTATACCTGCACAGTAGCAATTACACAATAAAAAGTTGCAACCAGCTATAAAGTTAGACCTCAAAAATGTGTGCTAACTTTGTAGCTGATTGCTGTTCAGCTTTCATTTGCACCTGTAGCCAGGGTCTCCTCTGCGGCTGGGAGCCCTGACAGCTGACAGGGCTCCCAATTGCAGGTGTGCAGCCCCCAAGCCCTGGGGATTGTGACTTCCATGATCACCAAGACTTGGGGTGTGAAACCCCTGGGCCCACATGGGGCTCTTGGTCCTGGCTGCACCTCATGCACAGCCAGGACCCAGAGACCTCGCAGCCATGAGGCAGTCAGTACCCAGAGGTCTGTCAGCTACTGGGACTCTCGGTCTTGGCTGTGTGTGCCTCCCCCTCCCCCCCACCCCCCGGCTCAGCAAAGGGGGCTCCCATTCATGGGGGCCTGCTTCTTGCTGATGCAGGGGGAGCCCAGAATTGGTCTCCCCGTACGTGGGAATAAGGTGTGAATGGAGCTAATGTGCAGTCCCACCACAGTTGTGTCTTCTGAATATGTGGCATGGCAGGAGGCACAATTGTGTGGATCACACATCTAATTGAGCCTTTACATTCACATGTAGAGGGGACCTTAGGTATCTAGGGAGTACAGGATTTGTGAAGTCCTGAGGTTATCTGGGGTACTCTGGAGAGATGGGAATTTAAACCAAAAGGGAGGTTTTTGTTTTTGATTTATTTGATTTTTTTTTTAAATATAATTTGGTCTAGAAAGTCCAGTCGTTGGTGTCCTCTGTGAAGATTTGTTCCTCCACTGAACACTTTTATGTCCATCAAACTTTGAGCTCTCAAAATATCTGTCATATTCTGAAGAAACTTAATCTTTTCAATGGTTGATCAGTGACGATTAATATTTACCATGATTTATTTAATATCAAAAGTCTGGGGGGTGATTTACAGATGCATATGAAAATGAAACCCTGTTCCAAAAAGCTTCTGCTCTAAATCCGTCATGTCAATGGATGAAGAATGGAATCACATTGATGCAAATATCCATATCTCTAAAAGTTTCTAGCCCCTTTTGTTGCAAAAGCAAATCAGCCACAGAAATTGAAGGCCTGTCCAACCCAGGGTAGTACAATCTATAGTTCATGCCTATTTATTTATATATTTGATATTCAGACATCAGCAATCAATAAAACATTTTCTTGTTGGTGAAAATGTGTGGTCCTATGTTTTTATGTATTTACTTTCAGATGAATGCACTGTTCTGAGAATTCATCCATGATTGGCCTTGTTGCTTAGTTTTTTACAAAATTTGTCCCATTAAGATAAATTGCTCCTGCATCTGCTCATGACATGATTTGTTCTCAGAATTTCTTTACTAGTCTAACATGATTAATTTTAGCCTATACAGTGTTGAAGCCAAGGGGACACAGTGGTGGAAGCTAAAGCCTTGCAGACACCAAAACAATAGGATCAGGGAGCTGATATATGAAGCAAGCAAACCAAAAATAGCACATCCATGCGTAGTACAAGGAGCGGAAGGAGCTGCTGTGTTGTACTTACATACCTCCCTGCTTGTTATAGTTAGACTACAATGTCCAAAGAGAACTTCCCTATTTGTTTTTTGAGCCTGATTGCCTTTCTGCAGCCTCTCCTTATCTGCGCACACAATTTTTCATACCTGCGCATTGTGCTGGCTTTTGCTGCTTCCCCCCCCCCCCCTTGCAAATTCACTCCTTCATGCAATTATTGGATCTTGCACAGCAAAACCCATTTCTTCTCATGGCTTTTTAATATGCAGAATCTAAACCTGGTACAATGTGCAGGTGAGAGAATCATTTGAGTTTACAGGCAGGGGTTGTTGCTGTATGCATGTGCACCAACAAAACAGTTTTGTGAATCCACAGTGGAGGTTGGGAGGATGGTGTGCTATAAATTTGGCCCTTTATTCCCTTTTGTCCAACATTGTTTCCTGCTTCTCATCCCTCTCGGGTTAAATGAAGCCTCTGCCTTTAAGGGAAGCACTGGTGTATATTCCAAGAGTTGGGAACATGGCATCTTTAAAATTTGACAGGGATTATTTTATTGTGTGGGTGAATGTCCTTGTACCACACTGAGTTCCTGGCAGGGTGGGGGTAGGGGAAGATCCCCTCTCCCAACAGATTAGGTAAATTATTAAGGCTCCATACTGTCCAAATATTTCTTCTCACAATATAAAGTGTAGATTGCATTTTTTAAATGCTAGATTAGGAAATTCCAAAACAAAATTCCCAGATACTGAAAATGGGAATGAAACTTTTGGTTTAAGCCCTGCCCTTCTTCTAGAAATTATTTGTAATCCCGCCTGGAGGAGTTGGCCCTATTTTGCAATGATGATACTGAATACTTGGATAATAACTTGGAGGCCTAGGTCATCTTTAATGTATCCATTGCTCTCAGCATTGTAAAAAAAAAAAAAAGAAAGCTCTTTCTTGAAAGCCTTCAAAATAGAGATCCCAAGCCACTTGCTGTGGTAAAGGTAACTTTTTAGTACAGTATCTGACGCTGGCAGGAAGCTCAGCGCCTTAGTTTAGAAGGGCTACTACTATGAGCAGAGCACATTTCAATCTTTTTAAAAGATACTTTCCTAGCAAAATATCTTTCATCCTTCTGAGGCTGATACTAGTCGGTGTAAATCATGGTTGTTTACCTGTCAGCTCTTTTATGCACAATTGCTTTATTTCCTTATTCCTCGGGGGGGGGGGGGGTTTTGTTTTCCTTCCATCTTTATGCTAGAAAATAAAAAAATTGTTCCCAAGCAATCAGCAAAATGAGCACAAATGATACCTGTTCAAAACTACTCTCTTGCTTACAGTTATTAGGGTTGTCATTTAAGACCATTAAGCTGAAAAATGTCTTTCTATTAAATCGATTTATT